GGGGCGCTGGCCCGCGAGCGCTTCAAGGTGGTCTTCGCGCCGGTGATCTGCAAGCGGACCTGCCTCAAGGGCCAGTGTCGGGACAGTTGTCAGCAGGGCTCCAACATGACGCTCATCGGAGAGAACGGCCACAGCACCGACACGCTCACGGGCTCCGGCTTCCGCGTGGGTGAGGGCCCCGGGGCACGGGCTGGGGAGCGGGGAAGGCCGGACAAATGCGGGGTACACGGCAGAGTAGGCAGAGCAGCTCTCTGGGGACCTGGGCCCCAGGGCCATCAGGGGACTTGGGAGGCTGGAGTCCTGGGGGCAGAGTTCCGAGGGCTGCATGGTTGCCAGGACTTCACAGCTCTGCCTTAGGGCCGAGGCCCAAGTAAGGTGTGGGGTGATGCTGGGGTCCTGGGTGACACGGGCCTCGAGGAAGGTGCTGGGCTCTGAGACAGAGTCGGGGTCAGCACACCCGGGCTTTGAGGGATGAGAGCTGGGGGCAGCAGATCTCAGAGGAGGGGTAAACATTCCCCCAAGAAACAGACTTGCTGGAAGAAACAGGAAAAGTCATTAAAAATGTCTAAAGTCAGGCCTGCCAGGGTAGACACCTGCATGCTCCAGGAGGAGGAGCTAAGGTCAGGGTTGGGGGTGAGGGACTTACTTACTGGTAAGGTCTGGGAGGGGAGGGGTGTTGAGGCCCAACAAGTGGGGTACAAGCCTGGAAGTAGGGGCTGGTCTGTGCCTTCACCCCTCCTTTTCCTGGTGTCCCATCTGTGCCATTATGGAGGACATAAGCCCTCAACACCTCTGCCTCAGAGGCACTCAGTCCCCCTGCCAACAAGCTCTTATGACTGCCCAGTTCTGCCTGCAGCCCACCCCTTCCCCAGCATCTCTCTTCAAAGGGCCAGGCCTGGGGCTCAGCTCTCGTCCCCCAGGGCCCTGTGGGCCAAGCGGAGGGAGGTGTCCCAGCAGTAATTACCCTCCTGGACAGGGTGATTAGGCTGGGCCCAGGATGGCACCAGCAAAACAGCCCCTCTTACACATTCCTATACTCACAGACCCGGGGAACTGAGATGGTTCATAGTTCTCATGGGGGGGGGGGG